AATTTCAATATTCTATACTAATTCGCAACCGCAGTGTTGAGAACTGCAGTAAAAATTATTGACTAAATTTTCCCATGAGAAACTACGATTGCAATTTCCTGTTTCACAATCCAATTAACCATTTTAACCTGCTAAAAAAGTAACACCCGCATTTGAGCAACTGTACCAAGGCGCGTAAATGCTCAATGACTGCCCTTAATATAATGTGTATTATCCCTAACTGGCGGGCTGTGCTACCACAGTAGCTACCTGTTGCTGCCACTCGATTGCGCAGTCACCTGTGGCGACATTTCACTTTGGCCAGAAGGGGAATCAGAAAGCACATGTAAACATGTAAATGAAGGCCTAACGGGTCACAAAAAATCACAAAATCGAAAATTAAAGTCGCGGCTGCACAGCTGGCAAGGTCCAACACAGAGTCCACTAAAGCGACGCAGCGACGAGAGAGCTGAAGTTTCAGTAGCAAAAACAAAAAAAAAACAAAGAGATTTCGAAAAAAAAAAAAAATTCAATGTGTGCATATTTTGTGCAATGTCATTCACACGCAGTGCAGTGGCAGAGAACACGTGTGCAACAACAAATGGAGAAAAAAAAATTATAATAAAAAACGAATTTTTTCCATAAAATACGGGTTTGTCACATATACGTCGACATTGTGATGCGTTGCCAGCGCTTGCACTTGACCATCTTCGCTGCATATGTACATACATACTTGTATATGCTTATGTATGTTTGCATGTGTGTAGGCGCATTAAAGCCAAATGTGTGCACTTGCCACCACCGGCAACCCGAGCGCCGGGTCAACGCCGACACCAGCACTGGTTGGTCACCTTCGCTTGAGTAGCGTCATTATGCGCTACAATTAGGGTATGTATTTATATAGATACGGCTCTGCAATAAATTTGATTCAGCGCATCAAAAATGTAACGTATTTTTTTTACAAGCCCCTCCACTCTCCGCTAGTCCACGGTCGCTTACTTGTGTGGCTTCTTTCTCTGAAATGACGCGACTTTGCATGTATTTATGGTAGAAATGCTTGTCTTCTTCTTTGCATGTGTAGTTGTAATAAAGATAAAAATCTTTTTCTCAAGCAATTATATACTTACTTACTTACATATTTATATATGTATGTTTTCTATTTTTGTATGTTGGTTTGTGTGTATGCAATACTAACTATTAGCGAAAAAGACGTTAAAACGGTTGCTGAAGTTATTTTGTAAATATGATTGAAGCGCTGATGCTTATTTTTTCATGGGAATGACACAGTAATGAAATTTTAATATGAAAATACCCATAATTTTATGTCTAGCTCGTAACAAAGTATCACCGCAGCTCAGTTCTCATGCTATCATGAGATTTTTGTTGACTTTAAATTACAGTCAAAATGTTAGAACTTATCTTATGGAATCATAGGCCGCATCCAGAAATCCGTTACATTTTATAGTATAATATTTTGGCAAATATAGATTTAAAATATTAGTTTTTATATTTTTATACCCTGAACTACCCTGAAGTTTACCACGAAGCTAGTAACGCCCGGAAGGAAACGTGGGAGACCCCAGAAAATATACATATACATAAATGATCAGCATGACAAGCTTAGTCAATTTAGCGTCTCTCCGTCTGTCTGTATATATGCGAACTAGTTTTTCAGTTTTTGAGATGACGCTCTGAAATTTTGCACATGTTCTCTTCTTCCAAAAATCGGTTCATTTGTCGAAACCGCCGATATCGAACCACTATAGCATATACATAACTGCCATACAAACTGAACGATTAAAATCAATTTCTTGTATGGAAAAATCTCTTATTAGACAATATATCTTAACGAAATTTGCCATAGACTAATTTCTGAGGAAGTGCTGTAACCCCCGAAAAAATGGTTCAAATCAGATCACTATAGCATATAGCTGCCATACAAACTGAACGCTCAGAAAAAAGTGCTTGTATGGAAAACTTTTTAAATTGACAGGATATCTCCACGAAATTTGGCATGGGTTGTTTCTTAAGTCAGTAGAGTATTTTCATAGGAAATTGTTCAGATCATACCATTATATCATATAGCTGCCATACAAACTGAACGATCAAAATTAAGTTCTTGTATGGAAAACTTTTTTATTAGACAATATATCTTCACGAAATTTGGCATATATTATTGTCTAAGGCAATGCTAACATACATGAACGAATCTTTCAGATCGTACCTTTATATCATATAGCTGCCATACAAACTGAACGATCAAAATTAAGTTCTTAGATGGAAACTTCTTTATTTGTGAAGTGTATTATAGCTTTGGTGCAGCCGTAGTTAACGTTTTTTCTTGTTTTTTATTTATTTTCTAATCATTAATTTTTTGAAATCCTAATTGCGTCCAGTAAACGATCTCACCAAAAATAAATAATTACAATCATATTTCAAAACCTAATATATTCATAAGGCATCAATCAATCGTACATGCATATAATATATATGTACATATATTACATAATGTATAAATAAATAAGCAAAGAGTTCTCAAACATTTTCCAACATTGCAAATGCTCTTAATCTCTATTGAAAACAATTTAAGCTCATAATAAATGTGATAATAATTGCTCTTATTGTGTTGTAATACTTTTGTGCGTGTGCTTATGTCCACAAAATTACAATTACTCATTTGAATATATGGAAAAGCCAGTTAATTTTCAAAGAATAAAAAAAATCGAAAAATATTCATTACTCAGGAAACCCGGAAATTTTAATCGCATTGTAAACACACATAACTTTTACCATATTTTTCAACAGCTTCCTTGCTTGTAATCCTTTGAAAGTCCAGCGGATTACAACACCAACTAGAAATGGCAAACAAAACTGGTACTTTTTTCCGGCATTAACAAAAAAATAATAATAATTTGACTTGCGAACGCGTCAGCGTACAACTGCTTTTGTATTTACCGTTGCCCATTTTCAGCCAAGAGCAGCAACTTGATATATTATATAATATAATACTACGGATGCTTATGCCTTAAATTTTTTTCATTTCGTGTATCAGCTTGACCATTTTGAGCCAGCTGCGCGCTGCTTGCGATGTTTACTGTCATAAAGCACGACATCATCCTCACTTTTGACAGCTTTCAGCCAGCAAACATATGCAAAATAATGACTTCGGCCCCTTTCTCCTTAAATCTGTTTTCCATATAATACATATATATATACATATTACTACGTATGTATGTTTGTATGTGTGCTTAAACCCCGCAACATTTTCCATCTTTGCGCTTTTTATGTTTTTCATAATTAACTTTTTCTTTTCTCGCAGTCCAACCCTTTTGTTTTGTGCCGCAATGTCCAGTTGTAATCCTTTTGTTTCAAACCATCCCCCATTTTTCTTTGTGATGTTTGAGAAAATCACTTTCTGCTGCTTTACGTTTATCTTATTTTCCGCCTTAGCTGCTCTAGGCTGCCCTTTGTAAAATGATTATGTTCCTATTGTCGCAGAGGTGCTGTTATGATTCAATTAACGGCAAACAAGTTGACCAAGTATAAAAAATTTATGTGCTGCTCCTTTCTAGCCCTTAGTTTTCCGCATTCTGTTCTTGCTTGTTTTAACTTTTTTTTTATGTTTGTAAGCTACCTAGTCGAGTTCTTTGATTACACAACATTGTTTCTGCCTTGCGGCTCTCACACTCATTCTCTCTCTGTGTTGTCATAAATTAAAATATTCTTAACTTATGACGAAGTAACTGTCAACTCTAACGGTTTATTTGGGTAATCTTGACTAATGGTCATTTGATATTTTTTTGTTGGCTGCGAGTTAGTGGAAATGGTATGGGAAGGAAACAGAAGCTTTAATGATCTATCACAAAAATTAAGGAAGCGCACCAATCGTATCGTCTATTGGCTTGAGCAAGAAAGTTACATCGTCTTATAAGCTAATGTGAAATAAAATATATTTAATCGTAGCTAAAATACTTCTTTTTAAAAAACCAAAAAAGTCTGCATAATAAGTTGGATGCATAAGAACCTTCTAAGCAGGCTCCCGGAGCTTCTGGCGGGTCACTATTATTGTGTTCGGTCTGGTGTTGTACTGATGGAACACAACTCCTCTCCTATTGACTGGACCGCTTCTGGGCGATTTATTCTTTCAACAGGTCCAATATACTGTTCCGAAATAAGAGTTTGGGCGTATGGGCATACCAAACACATAGAAAAACCTTTCGATAAATTACCCCATTTTCATCACCAGCAACCATTCGTTTCAGTAGTGGATCGATTTGGTTGCAATTTGAAGATGGAAATTTGGTCTATTAGATTTTTTTTCGCATTAATTCGTGTGGCACTCGATGTTCTTCTTATATCGAGCCTTGTTTAAATGGTTTGCTGGTAACCTCATCTCCGAGTAGTTAAAAGCTGAAGCGTTTCAGAGTATTCTTAAACAAGCTTATAATCATTTTCGTCTTTTGAAAACTGAAAGTCGTTTGGTTGCTCGAGGTGGGTTGATGTGAAATTTGTATGAAGCGATTGATCATACTTTTTATATTGTTAAGTGAGACTGAAGCATTTGCCACTTACCGAGTGCAATTCTTCAATTGGTATCTCTATTGTTTTTGTTTGTAGTTATCAAAAGAATTCTGTGTTCATTATTGGTCTACCTTAAGTTGTGGAGTTTATCCGAATTTGAGGAACCAGCTTACTTAATAGTGCGATTTAAGCAGAGTATCTGTCATGAGACCCAATTGAACTTAGTACTCGTCTATGCTTATTTACATTTCGGTTATTAAATCAATTAGTAGTCACTTTACATGTTCAGCTCTTACTGGAATAAATGAAGTTCACTACCCAGTTCGAGATATAAACGTTTAACCGTAAAGTACTTGTACATAATTTTTTATTAAACAATACCGCCTAAAAGTGCAGTATATATTTAAATTTAAGTTCAAATTTGAGTGAGACAGTTAAGCGTATTTTTTCATACACCACAACATTCCTTCAATAAATTATGACCGCAATTACCGTTTCAGCCCATTCACACCTTGGAAGCAATTAATTACTTTTTGAAAGCGGTCAACGTCAGCAAAAGTGGCAGCCTTGTTAGCGTTTGACCAATATTTAAGACGTGCGCCATCAGCCGCCAGGCATCATTTTCCAAGTGAGCATCGGCTGTGAGCCAACGGCAGACACACAAATAACAACTACACGCGTTTACTGTACCACTTGCTCTACAAAGAAGACAAAGCAGCACAAGGCACAAGAACAAAGTGTGCGAAATGTTGCGCTTTTTCGCTTATCTGCTTGCCATCTGCTTTATCTTATCAGCGACGCGTATGCAAATTCTACACGGTGCAGTCCTCGGACACAGCGATGTAAGTTGTAGCTTTAAGAAGTGTGCTAACGCACCGCACCGCTGAGTAATCAGGCGAAACTTGTTTGTTGTAATTGAAAAAGATTTATTTTAATTTATTAAAATCTTGTGTTTTTATGCGATTTATTTAAATGCGCACACTTTTGGCTTGCTTCGCAGCAGTTTCTTATAATTTTACACCGTCTGGCTAAAAAAAAGTCGCTGCGCCCTAATAAAGACAACTGTGCTCTGCAACGGATTTTAAATATGCGAAATTTTCTTTTTGTTTTCATTTCAGAGTTTTCAGCGCACACAGAATTGGGCCGCTCCTCCACCGGATCTGAGTTTACCTCCAATTTATCTGCCTGAGTTCACGCCTATAAGCGAAGAGCCACAGGAATGAGCAACAATGAAACTAATAAATATATACAAGTATTATTAATAATAAATTAATGTTAATTTTAAATATATTATAATAAGTTATGATTTTTATTGAACTTACAAATTAATATTGAAGCAGTGTCCGTACGATTTTGCTAACCTAAACCCGTGATAGGCTAACTGCTTTATCACACCTGGTTCTGGTTGGTATTGTTTGCCATTTGATTTACATATGTTAATAAGTATGTATGTATGTCTCTATAATCTTTAATGATTGCCAAGGCGAACCAATAGGTATAATACAGTCAGACCTTCTATTGCCATTACCGTTACTAAACTAAATTACTAAACGAGTGAAAGTTTCACTGCTGTAGCACGCCTTGTCTTAGTTCAAATATCGCAATACCTTCGTAAGATAACATAAAACGTCGGTCATAGAGAGTAACTTGTATCAAGTGGATCTCAAGAATTTTTCACACTTTTTATTACTTTTAGTGAGACCAATTTAGTTGCCTCTTACCGAGTGCTTTGCTTCACTTTTTATATCTATTAGTTTAGTTTGTAGTTGTCAAAAGTCTGTCTGTGTTCATTATTGGGCAACCACAACTTAAGAGCTTATCCGAATCTATAGAAACTGTTCACCTTATACTGCGATTGAAACAGAATATCAGTCATGAAACCGATTTGAATTGTCCATTTCTGCTCCGTTATTATTAGCAAGCTACAAAGCTTTTAGTATGCGCGGAATCTCGAATAAACCCGAGCGTTCTTTAAAAAAATTCCAATTCTGCTGGATATTTATTTGCAAGGCCATTTTCAATTCCAACTCTTGTCTACTCGCGCACGTAACCTGACATTATTATTAGACCCAGGACCCAGTTTGAAATATGAACCTTCAGAGAGTGTATGGTCACAGCTGCAAGTGGGAAAGATCTGTAATTGAACTATTCGAATACATTTGGTTTAAAGATCCACTGAAATCGCAGTGCGCAGTAGCTGAGAATCTGCAGCTAAAATCTTCATCCACATAAATGTGGTGCCGCCATAGGTTACTACAAAACTACTACCCGAAATATGCGATGGCGTGGGCTACACAACAAAGCAATTGCATAAAAGTGAGGACAAAGTAGGCCGCGGATATTTAGTGGGAGAGAGACACTATTGTGAGTAGTGATTTGAGAAGTAAAGTTCACTCGACGAGCAAAGCTTATATTTTATGAGTGCCACAGCAATGTACTAAAATATGGTATCGGAGTAGACCACATTTCATAAGGCAGGCTTTTTGATCTTGGACATTGCTATACTGTGTAAAGTTTACGATAAATTCCATTGAGTTATGGTACGGGTTGTTATTCGAATGTCGTTAAGATGGTTGCGGCATGAGAGTAGCAGAGTTTCAAATATTAAGTGCTACTGCTAACACTGGAAAAGGGAGGCATTAGCTTTGGCATTAACTGATCGTGAGGAGAAAGACTGTTGTTTCGACTAGTTGCCAACTTGTAAAGTGACTGGCTGACTTGACCAAATCGCTTAAGTGGTTACAACGCCTATTTGAAAAAAATTAACTCGCAGACATCCGGTGCTACGTTACCGGAACTGACTTTGGACTAAGTGTGCTTGTTTCGGCGATCAAATCCTGCTTGGAAAATCCTATACATGTCTTAAAAAGAAGTCGGGATACTTACTCGAACTCGATCACTTTGGAAAATCCAAAATATTAGAATATTTGACATTTTTTTCAAGTTTGTGCATTGCTTTACTCTTCTGTTTAGCTTTTTTATTTGCTTTGAAGATGATATGCATATTGATATTTTATTATATTAATATACATAAGTACATATGTAAAGGTGTCAAGACACTTTAAAATAATTGAGAACTAAGATTTTTTTTCTACAAAATCCTTTGATCTACCTTTTCAATTCCACAATCTCAATCAAAATATTTGTATAAATTCAGTTGAGTGAAAAAAGTCAACAATAGCTGCTGCCGTGGAACGGCTACTACGAAAAACTCCAACAACAATCCCAAACAATTGAAATAAGTAACAACAACACGAACTACTTTATATGCCAAGGAAACTTAAGCAATCGCCCGACGAAACGTCATACAAGGAACAAGCGAAAGGCGTCGCCAACAAAAGGTGTGAACCAGCGACAATGAGCGCAAGAGTCAATGAAGAAGTTAAATGGGCACGCAGTGACAAAACGTGTAAAAAAGTGCACATCTACGAGCGACGCGCGTGGAATAAACAACAACGGATAACACACACAGAAAACAAAAGAAAAATTCGAAGCAGAATTCGCTTGAACGCCAGCTAAAATGGGGTTACGCGGAAGGACTTGTATGCAGATGGATTTTTTCGAAAAGAAATTTCGGTGAAATGCAAATGTGCAATGAGAAAATATATAGTGCAACGGAAAGCGCAAGAAATGTGTAAGCATTAGCGAAATAACAGCAGCAAGTACAAAACGCTTGGCAGGACAGGCGCGCGTTGGAAGGGTTGTCAATGCGGCGCGTTACGCGCAGCCAACAACTCGAGTGTGTAAGCGAATAAAGGGATTTTCCTCTCGAATAAATGTGCATCTATATATGTGTGTATATGAATGTATGTGTGTGCGTTCGCCACCAGGACACACTCGAAACAGCTGGCCGTGTAAAAGATTAATGTCCGAAAAATGGTAATTTGTAAGCGCGGTGACAAGCTGCCAAAGGTAAGTAAGCTGGTAAGCGAACGCGTTGTAAAGAGGGGTAGCGCTGACACACGCGCTTAGCTATGCAAAAGTCGAAATTGAGTTGTAATCTCTGTGATTGTCCCACTTATGTTAATGAATATGTATGTGCGCTTGCGCAGTAACTTCCCAGAATGGCATGTCGCGCTTGTGCGTAAGTTAGTGTGTGTGTGTGTGTGCGCGACTTTCTTTGCTTTCATTTATGCTTAATTTATGGGCCAACGGCACTATCACACCTTTCTGCTTGACATTCGGAACGCATCCTTTTATTTCATTAGCCTTTTTCCAACTACTAACTACATGTGTGTGTGTGTGCGTGCGCGCGTACGTGTTTTCCTACGTTTTTTAATACTCTTGTGTTTTGTTGAAGACATTTGGAAAAACAGACAATGCGACACGTTTGTTTTGTAAATATTGCGTTTGTTATTAATGATCGTGCACTTCAGCTTCCAGTTCAGCGCAACCGAAACTGAAAACTGAGCATGTCCTTTGCGAACGCGTACTCACTTTCACGTCCGCATGGCATTTGCAGTCGATCGATGTGAGTTTTCGAAATTTTTTGTCATTTGCTTTTGAAAATTTTCCCACTTTCCCGCATTGAAATTTAATATTTGTCATTGATTTTGAGTTTGTTGCGTTCACAAAATTTGCATACATACCTACAAAGCTCCATATAACATATATTGTAAGGCATTCGGGCGCTCTTATTTTTACCTCATACCCGTATTTGCATACGATTTCCATTTGTCATTTGTCACCGTTGTGTTGATAAATATTTTCATAAACATAAATACTTTTAGCTGCCGGGCGCGTCTTTTTGTATGCAAAATATCCTTTTTTTTACATCCTTCAGTTGCTCTGCTAGGTTCTACTTGCACTGGATCAGATTAATGAGCTCTTAATTATTTTGTGTTAAACCTTTTTTGCTGCAGCTGTTGGGCAATTAATAATTTTTATGCAAATCTGGTCCTACCTGCAATTGGTACTTACTCCAACATTGAAAACAAGAATTTGAACCTTCGTTAACAAGCATTAGGGCGCCATCTATTCGTAGGTATCATATTCATACGTAGCCATCCTCAATTGCCATCTTAAAAGAAAACTTACAAAAATTTTGTTAATATTTCAATTTTGAGCAGATTTTTATTTTCAAGAAAAAGTACTTGAAAAATGTGTCTCTTATATCAAATCATAAACGCAAAATTCCTAAGTCAAAAATTATATATCTTGAGGTACTTGGGTATTTTAGATAAATTAAATATTTTTTAAATTTTGGAATCGGCAGTTAATTAATATTAGTTGTTTTTGAAAATCGAAAAATAACAAAAGATACTCGCAGCCAGTAGCCCCGCGAGCTGTACCCGAACGATATCGGGAGATGAGAACCAAAGAGTGGCGCTTTTTGTGGACGCAAAAAACGGGAGCAAGAGGAAAGCTATGTATGTGGGTGAAGACTCGGAAAGTCATTCAGAAAGTCAAACGCCTGATACAGGATTTTGAGCCTCTAACATCGACCTGTAGAGACGAGCACAACGATCGTAATGAAAATTTGTAAGCAACTCTTTTCTAACTAGCTTTCAAGTTGTTAATCGAAAATGTTCATACCAGAATGAAGCCCGCACCGCTATACAGCGACTTAAGTACAACAAAGATCGTCTTACTGCGAAACAATTCAACGGCGGCGGAGATTTGTTCATAGGGAGCATGTCTGCAAAATATGGCTAGATGAAAGCCAACGATTGGAAGCTCAGTGCACTGTGTTCAGTCAAGAAGAAAGGCGACCCAACGTTCTGTGCCAACTACCGAGGAATCAGCCCAATGCCCAAGGTGTAAAATATCCTGTCAATAATATTATGTGAATGACTGATCTGGCTGCTTAAACCTGATCGTTTCACCATTGATCAAATATTCTCTGCGACAAGTCACTGCGGAAAAGACCCAAGCATATGAAATCAACATCCACCATCTCTGAGCTTAGTATAACTGAAAAAATAATACGCCTTTGCAGAATGACGTTGATCAACAGCGGACTTTCCCCTTTTGATATCACGCGAGGTTTGATACAAGGCGATTCCTTACATTGTGACATCTTCAGCTTGGAACATGGAGGTTATTTTTCGTAGATCAAGTGTTCAGCGGGCATGCTCTATATTTTACCAATATGTCCGGTTGCTTATCTATATCGACGAGTAAGTGAGATATTTCCGATGCTTTTGCGACTATCGAAAGGGAATTTGGCAGACTATCAACAGAAATGTGAAGTAGAATGAGCCAGTAGCTAGAAAGCAGTCGAGTATTTTGTTTAATTTGGCAACGCCATAAACAACGGATATTATGTCAGCCTGGAAGTCCAGCGAAAGATACTCTTTTGCGAATCACTGCTATAACGGTCCAATACGCAATTAGAAGGTAGAGTCAACACTCGACAGACAAAACAAACACTCTACAATTCACTCTTAGTACCCGTGCGTCTGTATGCTGCTAAAGCAAGGACGATGTCAAAAAGGAATGTGCTGGCGCTTGGAGTGTTCAAGAAAGAGGCCTTCGCAAGATTTTTAGTCTTTCAGATGTTAGAAATGACTATCGTGTCCGGACAAATGACAATATGAGCTATCACGAAAGTGACATGGCTTGGTCCAGTTGTGAGGATGGAGGAAGGCGCTGCAGCGAAAAAGTTATTTGATGCGAAATTCGGTGGTATATGATGAAGAGATAGACAGCGTTTTCGGTGAAGTAACAAGTAGAAGCTGTAGTGACGAAACTTGGTGTACGAGGCTAGAGAAGGCGTGCGCATAGCAGAGGCGCCTGGAAGTCTTTATTACGTCATGCCTAAAGTCTAATTGTCATTTACAGGGATGGATCAAAAATGGAGTTGTTGCGAGAATATACTGTCCGGAAGACATAAGGCAGCCTTTTTAACTGTCGGATCACTGCAGTTTATTTCAAGCAGAAAGCCGCTGAGCTAGCCACTAATGCAACAGCAGGCAACTCCAGAGTTAACAACAGCGTACAGTGGAGAGTGTCGCCAGAAGCAAGCGACTTTACATCTACTACGTGCCAGGTCACAAAGGCATCTGTGGCAATGAGATAGTGGACGAGATTGCCAAGCGTGGTGTACGGCTATACTACATAAAAAAGTAAACGAAATTGGTAAAACCATACATTGTCTTTACGACGTACTTGACGGGAGCATGGCAAGGAAGTAGATCAAAAATTCACAAAGTTTCTACGCAATCTTGATAGAAAGTACATCTATATTGGAACATGATTGGAATACTCACTGGTCACAGACGAGCAGCAAATGCCTATAGAATGGAGCTGACAGATCGAGTAGACAGTGAAAGAGTCTTCGTTAGTGAGGCCGCTGACATCCTGTAGGATGATTACTGCGCATGAACTACGTAACGGCACTTCATCTGGCATCGCTATGAACCAAAACTGGTCTATGAGTGGCTCATTAACTTAACAGACTAAGCTAACCTAATCTTATAGAAACTTTATACTCGTTTATATACTTATGTATATAAAAGTATAAATATATATATGATCTACCTGCACAAAAGTACAACTGTACCTGGAACTGTTAGCGGCTGTAAATTTTAAAATTCTAAATACGAATGCATGTCGGTATATCGCGTTGGCGGTATGTATGCTTGCCATATGCTTCGACGTGGCAAATGAATTTCAATTAAATGCCATGCCACGGCCATTTGACAGCCACAAAAAGATATTATATTTCTGCATATATGGGTTGTCTGTATGTACGAGCGCTGATCGTGTTCGGCTGATAAGCGTAGCACGTGAGCGCTTATCAGTGGCAAGCCACAGTGCATACATATTTAGTAAAAACGTTGCATATGCATTGTTGTTGGTGTATGTAGGTGTGTTGGCTGATGCATTAATGGTTGGCAGATATTTAGATGCGCATATATTAGGACCTATAAGGACACTTATTGCATTTCGGTGGTGCTTTATCGCGTGCTGTGGCATGTACTTGCGGCTAGTTGTTGATGCTTGCCGCACAATCAGACGTCAGCTGTTGGTGGCGTAACGCCAAAAGAGCAGACATAATAAATATTGAAATGACTAAAAATTAGCATAATAACCCTTAGAACAGAGCTTGTAAAGCATTTTTCGTAATTTATCAACGTAAGCAACTAGAAATTTAGGATATGCAATACATATGTGCGTATGCAGCGTCATATGCGGCGTGGAATTGAAATAAATATAGCATACGCCACAGCTAAATATAATAGCAACAGCTGCTGCATGCCACATGCCTGGCTTTTGAATGCTGCTGCAGCGCCGCTTGCAGTTTACATCTTCCCGCACTCGAAACACACAAAACTTATACATAGAGGCACACTAATGAATAGCGAGCGCATAGCATAGAGCACAATCACCCTCAACATCCAGTAAGTTACCGAAAATAGTATGCATCAACCATATGCGCAAAATTCGAACACGCGCCACAAAGAGCCGGTCAACAGTTAGCAGCCGCTCAATCAGTCAGCAATGCAAGCGATCCTGCTGTTTAATTCATGTCATGTTGAAATGCCAAAAGTGGACTTGAGCTATGCAATATTGAGAGATAACGCTCGTATTGCAAGAAAAGCAAAGCAAAGCAAACCTTACGAAAATTTCGGCTGTAGAGAATTGACAGGCTCATCATCATTTATGGTGATCCGTCAGCAGCCGGAGGCGCAGGCGCAGCAGTTGCATGTTGCCGCATAGCGAGTGAGCTACACATCCTTAAACACACGCACATCCTTTTTGTGGCAATAATAAAAATGTTTGCACTACTGACTCGTGCCTTAGTCTCGCACTTCGCTGACTCAGCTCATCTTTCAGCTTCCATTTGATACCCACATGCACTCACACCTCTTCACTATTCTTATCTCTCTGTTAGTCTTGAGTTTATTGTTTGTTATGCTCATCTGCTCATCCCCTTTACAACTCACCTACTTACATCGTTCGCATTCAATATTGCGTATTGTTCGTCTCTTTGGCCATCACTAATTTTAGCTGAATTTTTCAAGTGCGGGCGTTGCCTTTTGTCTTCGTCGGCATAAATATCGCATATACAATACTTACATCGTTTCCGCATCCTTAATTTGTTTTGTTTAACCGTAAGTAATCTATTTTTAGTTGTCGCTCTTCTTCGTTGTAATGTTCTTTGTCGTTTCGTTTTAAGCACTTCCTTTCTTTGACGCCTCGGTTATGTTCTAATCGTGTGGGTGTAAATATGACTTTTGTTGTGGAATTGGATTTGGATTTCAATTATTAGTTTATCGTTCCCTATACTGTGGAATCATCGGTTACTACTCAGAGATTAACTATTTAGAATTTTGTGAAGAGTTTCCAATTTTTTTTTTAATTTTGAAGGATTTTTTATCGAAAGTAAAGTAAACAGACAGTAAATTGAGACACGTTTAAGTATTCGTAAAAAACGTCGTTCAAAATTGTAACTATTCATAACATTTCTGTGCCCAAAATTGGTTTGACCCCAGTACTAATCTTAAAGCAATTGATTTCAATTCCACCTAGTTCAGCTTTAGGCCTCAAGGTGTGAGAGCCTAGGTACTTTAACCTTTTCCTTGCAAAAGCAAGATAAACCGAAATGGAGTAATGATTCTACGTCTCTAACTTCCAGTCACTACGTGACCGTCACGTTTTCAACTAAATTTTAAAAAATCTTTCAATTCATTCCGTGTCCGATGCATCTTTCGAGAACCAGACAATCTGCAGTAAATTGCAAAGACGGTTCCCGAAAGTCCAGAGCATTTTTTCTTGAAAGCTCATTAGCCTTGCGGGTACCAACGCCCCTTTGACCAGGCACCCATAAAAGCCTTAACACAAAACTGCTCGTTAAATTTAATTTTGGACCAAATCCGGAAATTGCCATCTTTCATAGCCTCAACTTGCTGCCTAGAGAAGGTTTGTGTACTAAGGATCGGTTGTTTTATAATCCTGACTCGACTTTATTTTTAATTTGGTGAATATATATATAATTATATTTTTGAGAAAGGAAAGCTTTTCTGAATCCTGGGGATTAGTATTAAATGGGATCAACAGGAAACAGACTTAGCATTTCTTACGTAGTATGAACATTTTGGGACCGTTGTTGGTAGATTTTAATCGGCCGATCCCCGCCGAACCCTCTCCGAGGCTACCGACTGGTATTAGATACCACAGTATTACGACGATGGCAGGTACGGGCTGAAAACAGTGTCATGCGACCCGTGCCGGAATCAGCCTTGCTAGGGATCCTTAAATAGCCCAGACTCATACAGAGCTTACAGATAACTGGCCTTAATAACAAGATAGACTTACTTACGTCGCGGAGGCTATGTGCAATCGGACCTACTTCCCCTACACTCGTGAGTCCAAATTATGAACCAGAACAACAAAAATATAATACTAAAGGAGTCCGGTTCTCCTGGAAAAAAGCCGGGATAAACTAATTGTTCCGTGAAGAGGGCAGCGTTTTCAACGAGCTCGAAAGGTTACACCAGCGGCAGCAGGAACCAACTCTTGTAGGTCGATGACCAAGCTGAAGCAAGATAAGCGACGAAGCGTTGTGCTGCGCACAGCCAGTGCGGGTCCGACATCGTCATGCACATATATATATACATATATACCAGGGCCAAATCAAAATGATTGCGTGCGACAAGGCGAGATCGGTCCAACTGTATAAAGCCGCTATAGCCAAGGTTGGTTAGGTATACCTCGAAGCTAGGCTGGTAGCGGTCGACAAGAAGGATATTTCATCCAGGCAAAGGAACGGAGAGGTGGAAGTTCGTTAAGGCCTTCGACGACTGCGCAGCAGAAGCTGGCATGTAGACTAAAAGGGCCACGATTCAGATTTCGTTGCTATCAACAAACCAATACATCGAACCACTGGCGAAGAGTTGCAGGAGGATTAATTATGGACTCACGAAGGTCAATATCATGACCTACAAACTGGTAAATTAACAAGAGTTTATAGCAAAAAACTTTGTATACATTCCCTATTGGGTAGGTATGCACAAAACACTTTTCGAATATTTAATTTTCAAACGTCACACTAACGACGCATAGTGTGCGCCGGCGCAGCTGTTATTCCCCGAAACTGTTCTGGCCACGAAGGGATTGTCCTGTTGGCACGCATAATGAATGAGTCAATGAAATTGAATGCATTACCGAAGTCAGACAAACAACCCTCCTGCGCGTCCGCCCCACCGAAACAAATACTAAATATAGACAGTGTGCAATGCTGGAAATTATTAGAGCTACGAAATATTGTAACCGAAAAAAATATTTGGGAGAAAAAATTAATTTTAGTAGCATTTTCATGCCTCGACTGGCACTGGCAGCGTTAGTGAACTCGACGACGCACAGTCTTCGTGGCATGCGTAGGTGAAAGACTGTCGAGAGCAAAAGTAATTAAATCCACGTATAAACTACGATGACGGTACTTCGGCTGTTTTCATTTCACTTCCACATGCCACACATGAAACACTGCCGCAGGCTGTTGAACTCAAAGGCGCATTATTCCTGCAAGTAATGCACAACTAGCCACAAACGAATCCCATTTTTATTTTATTTAATTGTTTTTATTTTTGCTTGTTTTTGGTTAGCATGTCCTGGCGTGTCCTTGTTGATTAGCCTGCTTTCATACTACTCACTTGAAGTGCTCACATATCCTTTTACATTTTTTTCCTGCTTATTGTACTTTTTTTTTTTTAGGTGCGCATAACTGCGTCGGCGCGTGCCCATTGCCAACTGACACCCGCAACAACAACACAGCCAAAAAAAAATTAAATGATACATTTGTGCTAAATGGAAAGAAATTGTATGCGCTCATTGGCTATTATTATTTGTAGAACAGTTGGACCTTAGAAATGCCAGACAGTATGGCCGACCGGCGCTCGCTAAGTAACGGTTCACCTAACGCAATATCGGTTTATTGTAATAATAGTCTTCACGTGCTTTAGAATGACTGTTAGATATGAGTATTGGCAATTAGCGGTACCGTTTTTCACTGTTGACAGTTGTTGACAACTATTTTTATTTTCGCTTGTAAACATGACCAATCATACAACTGATTAGAGTGACAGCACGAACTCTCTGTGTAAATAGTCGGCTTTAACGCGACCTCTTAATGATACGTGTCAGAGAGTTGGCTGCGGAAGGGTTCTGAATGTAAGCAGCTAAATAATCGACCACAGAAAGTGTCCGATCTAAACTGAATCGAAGAATTTCGACTAAAGCTCATAAAAAAACTGCATGAAACTCCACCTTTTATGGCTATGTACCTTGACAATTTGACTCGAGGTTCTGAAAAAAAACTCATATTGGCTTTCAACTGTGCGAAAAGAAAGCTGTTTCCCATTTTCAATGGAGACATTTCTAAGGGCATTTAATGGATGTACTTGACGTCAGTATCCACCGAAGGCAGTCCTATCGACGAGTATGTCCAATAGAGCATAGTCGCATATTAAAATAACATTTGCTTTCGTGGTATTTTTGATTTATCAATTCGTAAATCCTCACCAAATTTGAATCATTCATTCCTTTGGCTCTACGACACCTTAGTGAAGCCCATTATGTTCTACGTGGTCTTTGTGTGGTTGAGTGCGCTTGCTTAGGAAGCCCGAGACGTTTAGCAGGCGGCGATTATAAGCATGTATGGTGCACTAAGGTCCACACCAACCCTGCCACTTAGTGCCATTCTAACTGAATAGATATGTATGTGTCTGAAACTCAGGAGTCCTTGCACGCTTTGACTTCGTAGCGAATCTTTTAAATCATAAAGTCACAAAACTCGACTCTCGCGGTATTTTATCTATAGTAGTCCAAGTGCGATCCCTCATCTTGATGATTAGTCATTTAACCTAACCTAACTTAAATATCAAAGATTGTGACCGCACTGGCCGTCAAACAAATGTCGCTAAGCCTCCAGCGCTGAAAGTATTTAATTCGGTACCTGCTGATGATAACAGTGTAAGTGGAAGAATTCTATTGCGTCTCAAAGACTATCTGTACTGAGCTACGAAGCATTTGGAGCGATTTTAGTTCTTCCTAAAACTTCTGAGGTGTCTAGAGAGAATCCATTAAAATTGGAGGCGGCGCGAACTAGTACGATAACATTAAAGAAAAAACTTTATTGGAATACAATCTAGATATATTGTACTTTAAAATTAGTATAATGGATAAATTAGAAAAAGACTAAGAGTTAGACAAATGACATCAGATATGGCTTGGAGATTATTGCCTTAAGAAATACACATGTAAATACTTGTATCACACGCCTCTATGCCTTGAAGGGAGAACCAATATTCTTCGTTATGTCAACCATTTCTTCCAGGAAGGTATTAGCCAAATTTTTTACCCCGGAACCAATAAATTTTATATTACTTGCAATAAAAACTCTTAAAGTTCAAACCTCAGCTACACCTTGTGTTCCCACAGCGGCTGCCAAAATGCACAGTTTAGTTTTTATGGTTTTGAGCTTAACTAAATCTCTACAGTGGCATGTCATTCACAATTGTTAAAGAGAAACATTTGAGATTATTCGCTACCGATCGGTCATAAAGAAAACTCTCTTTAATCTCGTCATACTAAAACGTATTTGTTACTAGTCTAAAACAGTAGTTTTTTTTTAGAATTTTTTATAACTACATATATTTTAAATTGCATTTATATACTAATAAATTTGTTGAAACTAACACGACAGTTTGACAGCCCACAATACAGTTTGATATCTAATTTTTATCAGAGAACGTATACGTTCTCTGCTTTTATGACTACCCGCTAGAATTCCTCAAAAACATCATTGTTGCAACTAAATTGCAAAGTGGCATGTTGCAACCCTGCGCATTCATTGGGGCCGTAGAAAAATGCCAACAAAAGAGAATCCAAAAGAATTCAACTTGTCGTCTGTCATCGTTGTCGTCGGGTGTATGTAAACGCGGTTTGCGTCCGTCGCTTTTTCTGCACAAGTAATTCTACCGTAATATTTAACGCACGCTCATTTCTCAAAATAAATTTATTTAAATTTGTTAACTGTGCTTTGCATAAAGTTAGTGGCTGTGTGTTTATGTTAATAACCAAATAAATATATATAAAGCACAAAGAGTATTAAAAACGTATATAAAGCCGTGAAGTAGTGGAAAGGAGTAAGAAAAGGAGACAAACCTGAGTGCAAAGGCGGAATGAAAGATATTCCTTTGTGCTGCTGCTTGGAATTCGGTGGTGCTTGTATGTATGCGTGTGTTTCTAGAAAAGCAGGAATTATGGCCTGAAACGAACCTAACAAAAATCAAGTGAATTGTCTGCTTATATGGCCAGCTTACTTAATGAAGCGTCAAAAAAGAGAAAAATAAAGAAGTGTGCTACTAAAAATTAAAAATTTGTTATGTGCATAAAAGGCAACAGTGTGCCGCTTATGAAAATTATTTTTAAATTTTGTTGTTGCTATTGACGCTTTGGTTCTTTGCAACGCCCACACGCATTACAATAAATAAAATATATATTTGTAGCTGCTCATTACTGGGTAGCATTTGACAAGTCGTGCAGCTAGAAGACGCTTGTTCTCTTCGCTGCGGCTTGTTACGTCTGCGACCATTGTTGTTATTGTTTTACAGGATATTGAACTTGTGCAGCGCTTTGCCTTAAAGGGCCGTATTTTGTAGTGATCTGGCAGCGCACATTGAAGAGCACTGTGTGTAAAAACAGCAACACTAATGCATTATCAAAATAAATATATATTCAGATTTTGATATTTTTATATAATCTCAACAGTCAAATATTATAAAGAATATTGTATAAATTCTTCACAATTCTATTTTGGTTATCAATATGTCTGCTTTTCAATCAATCTTCATCAATTTAATTGCAATGCTCTAAATCAACAACAGTGAACCTGCCAACAATTGCTGTTTCCAAATCTTCGCCACTTTATGCGATCTCCATGCAAACATGCGTACATACGTGCGTATATTCATACATATGTAAATCTTCACTAAGTTCGTTCAAGTCTCTGTATACACGTACATATGTCCGTGGGGCCAGCGAAGATGTCATAGACATCGCCGATGAATCTATACAAAAACAAAACTCATTGAAAGTAAATAAAGAAGAAAGATAACAACAACAACAACAACAAAAAGCGCATCATACAAAATGTGTAATACAAAAATACATATATATCCACTTATGTATTTTAATATGTTTGTATGAAATGCTAAACGACACCACGAATGCACAGGCGAAGCGTAGATAGGAAAAATGTTCAAAACGAATTGAATTCGAATACAACAAAAATAAAACAAGTAGAAAATCAGTAAGAGCAACAATCAACAACAGAAATAACAATAGCCGCATAGCGCATGGGTCAACGCATAGTTTTCAACGATACGAGGGGTATAAAATTTCGTTCGAGAACAAAACCTGACAGCGCAGCACAGCACAGCACGTTAGCAACAACGCCACAAACAAAAAGTAAACATGCATGCATACATACATACATGCATATCTCTTGTATAAGTATATATGTGTGTGCATATGCATGTGTAGTCAGCACACAAATAACAATTCGCCGAAATATGCCGATTCAGGTGACGTTGGCAGCGCAGTGGCGCACTTTTTTCTTCTGCTGAGAAATAAAATAACAATAACAACGTCGGCATTACCAGATGGTTTTAGCTTATTTTAGTGCAATTTGTCATTCGTGGAAGTGCATTTTGCAAAAATGGGTGTCATTTAAAATATGAATCTGGACGTTTGGATACGTTGTTTGAAAAATCTGCCGTACTAACTGCTTCATTTTTCGAAAAAGAGACTCAATCTTGCCCTACTCTGTTCTTGATATTGTAGCCAGTTAAACTTCGACCTATCCTGAATCGACCACGACATACCGAATATGTATGTATATGTCCTGTGTGCAATGAGTCCACGCATGACTCTAACCACCTCCTTGCATGCACAATGAATGCCATTCATCTAAGAACCCTCTCCTTAAGGTCCGACCCGATCAAAACAGCACGTTTCATAAGCCTCCCGTTAGATAATTCCAATGACTTACTTGAGCTTTCCCACCTAAACAAGGTCTAGATAACCTCTACAACAAAAGAGCGACTAAACCTGATGGATAAGTTTACGTTCTTTTCGATAACATGTGGAAACCGGGAAGGAACTGAAGGCAACGTACCAATCTCCGAACATATTGTTCAGTACAAAACACTTAAGCCATATATCTGGTATACTAATTGACCTATCAAAATCAAGATAAAGATCTTTTTTTTTACCACTTTATGCTATAGGAAATTCTCGTGCTGAGGTTATTACAGCCGAAGGTAACGTTTTTTCTTGTTTTTGATGTATTACACTAGCACTTCTTTAAGTATTGAAAGAGGGTGAGGTGGAAACATCCAGGCATTTTCGCCTTCATTATCCAGTCTTTGCAAGCCGTCTAAAAACTTTGTGTGATAGGCTCAAAGCGCCTTGTCGTATTGGGTCTTATGATCTATTATATAGAAGTCTTAGGTAACACAACGGGCCAGCGTTCTATGCTATTCAAGTGAGATACCTGTTAGAATCTACCTTTTTACTTAACTTCACCTAACCTTCAAGACAAAACATCTCTCTAAATTAATCCTCAAATTTTTTTTAAATCTTTATAACGATAACTTTTTCGGAATCCGACACAAAAATAAATATATTTTCACTAAAAAACCAAAATTCACTAATCTCATGACCATCTGGCAACATTGTCGCTATGGGGATAAAGAGTTGATTGAGCTTTACGCCACTTTGGCATCGCATAGCAAGCGCGCTCCGCACCCATACGTCAAACGCTTGCGGTGGGGAGGAGTAGCATGTAGGTGAGCAATGGAGCTAGCAAACTGTGCGCTGCCGCTGCCGATGTGCTGATTTCGTTGCTCAGCTTGCTGGTTCATTCTTCACAGCTACGTCGTGCGGGCGCTACGTACAAATGTCTTCTATCTATCAACTTACACATGCAAATTCTATTCATACATTATTCCCCTAAAATAGAGCAAACGCGAAAATAAACCACAAAAAAAGTAGTAAAATAAATATAAAATATCAAACAAAATTGTTGGCGTGTGCAGAACGCGTACAAGAACAAGTGTTTGTTAAATAATTAAATTACGAAAATGTAAAATATCATAAAAACCGAAAAAAGTGGAAATGTTTGTTGGTTTTATAGTGCGCAACAAGTGCGGAAATCTCATGCGAATTAAAAGCTTTTAAAATAGTTAATTGAAAGTATATTTAATAGCGAATGTTTAAAAATTATAAAATATACAATAATTTATTTTTTGTTTAGCTTAATAATTTAGTGCCGCGTGACTAAGCACACAAACAGCTGTAGGCTGAATTAACATACAAATATACGTATATAATCTCAATTTACTAATTTTAACGCAAGTACATAAGCAAAACACCAAATTTTATCAACAATATTTAAACTAACCCATATATAAAAGAAAACAACGAAGGCTGACAAAAAAAAGGAAAATACACAAAATAAATACAAAAAACTGTTAATTTAAGCAAATCTTGAAGAAAAAAATTAATTGCGTACTGCAGATAAATAACTTTAATTGAGAGTTTTATTTTAAGCACAAATTAATTAAACAACAACAAACGCTTTTAATTCAAACGATTGTATAAATACACCACAGGGATAGCAACAACAACCACAAAAAACAACACAACAATATTTCATAGCGCAAAGAAATAACGTAACAAAAAAGTTAATCAAAATGGAAGCAATTGCCAAACACGACTTCTCAGCAACTGCCGATGACGAATTGAGTTTCCGCAAAAGCCAAATTTTAAAGGTAAGTAGCTGCCAAAATGCGAAATGATAAATATACGCGAAAATAGATAAAAATGCATTGCAAAGTCCATACAAGAATGTATGTCAGTGGGTGGTGGTCGTGGTCAGCGAGGCCACAGGCGCTTGAGGTCAGCTGGCCGCGTTGTAAACATCAATATATACTCGTATATATGTATGTATCTTCCTGTTGCTGATAAGGTCTTGATTTAATTTAATTTTTCCATTGTTTTTTTTTTGTTGTTGCTCCAGTTTCATGATACTGCATTGATGCATACTCGTACATTTTAGCGTTGATTTATGGCTTTGTTGTTTACTTTAAGTGTACCTTCCTGCTAAACTTAACAAACAATCTAGTTATTAAGAGAAGAGCACACAAACTTCATTAGTGTTCGTGTCATTGGCAATGCAGTGTGTTCTAATATATATCTTCTGATTTCAACTAATTTTATTTACAATTGTTTCTTAGATTTCTCATATATGTATATAACTTAGAATAATTAGATGAAATTACATGCAACTTTGCACTGTTCTAAGTAGCCCAAGCCAAAGCCAAAAATAGAGATTGTAACGGGTAACCTCTTAATACAATTTAAAGTTCCTCTTCTCCACAAGCATTTTGTATTGGTGAGAAGACTTAAAAATTATCGGGATTTGAAAAGAACAAGGTAATAAGCGTTCGGCAACATATTGTCTTTGGGGATATTCTTTAGATGGCACGCTTTCCTAGAGATGATATTACCAAGATAATATACTTTGAGAAAAGATTCGAAATTTCTCTAGGCAGTAAAAATCACTGGAAGAATTTCCACTCTTGAGAAGAGTGCCTATCAAAGAGCAGCCTGCAATAAAACGACATATGGAATAGGGGCTGGAAAATGGGAGCACTCACTATACGTCAGCGTCAAGTAGTTTCGCAAGTATTTCTCAAGCTGCGGTCTCCGCCAACAGTAAGTTTGCAGATATTATTTTAGATTTTCTTTTTTATTTCTCATGGTAAACTCTCATTCTTAGTGATAGTCAAGCGGCACTTTAGGCTATATCGTACGTTAAAATTAAAACAATAATGCTTAACAGGATTACCATGGATAAGGATAATAACATGATGCATATATGCATTAATCCTTGGGCAAAAGAAGTGCTACGCGAGGAGGAAAAGGGTTGTAGAAATCGGTATTGCCAGCAAAGTCTGCACTACGAAGACGAATCTGTTCCTGCGAAAGTTCAATACAAAAAGATTCAAGCAACTAATTTTTTCCCCAGAGACAGATTAAGACAGCTAGTCAGGATCCTGACGTATACTCCTTGATTTCCCCGCAAGCGCAAGAAAGATATGTTAGGCTATCGGAACAATGAATGGATGTTTTTATACCATGAACAGCATTTGTAAGACCCAAAAGAAAAGAGATCCTAAGAGATCCTATAAAGTATATATGTAGTATACATACACGTTTTTTTCTTCAAGAAGCTGCACTGTTCTTGTTGGAACCGCCGTTATCCGATGACTATAGCATAAGGCGTTATATACAGTTAGAAGGCCGAAAAAAAGTGAATTTTCCAGAAGTTTTTCTGAGAAAGCTTTCAAATTTATTGATCAAAAAATGTATGCACATATTATGATATCTTTTAACTATATTTTAAGGCTTAGTACTAGTAAAAATATTTATTTGGAAAAGAACAACAGCTGATCTCCGGGAGCTACTCTTATTAAAGACGACCACTATATCTCTGAACTGGATCATCTGAAATTAAAAAAACCAAACAGATATCGTTAAAGTAACGTTAAATCTAGTAATTAATCGAAGAAATAAGCAAAATAAATTTTTTTGACAAAATGGTGGTTTCTCAAAAAAAAATCGATTTTTCACCGAAATTTTATAAAAACAAAAATATTTATCGGAGAGAAAAACTCTTCGATTAATTACTAAAAATATATATTTAAGAAGAAGTTTTTAAGTAATGTTCGTCACCGACTTTGAAAGCACCAATTCTGAGAAAAACGCGTTTAAAGTTTGGAATGCACTTTACATGTCTTGCCTTGTACTACCAAGCCCTCTGCAACGCCTTTTCAAATTTGCATGTAACTTCGAAAATATTCACCGGAACGATATGAAATTTTCTTTGTGTATTCTTAAATATATATACTTTAAGAAAAATAAATAAAAAAAGTCGATTTTTTGAAAATTCTAACTGTATGTAACCCCATAAAGCTACCATACAGACTGATCGATCAAAGTTTTTGTGTGGAAAACTTTTTTATTTAACGAGATATCTACACGAAATTTGGCACAGATTATTGCCCAAGATAAAGGTATAATCTCCGCACAAATTGTTCAGATCGGATCACTATAACATATAGCTGCCATACAAATTGACCGATCAAATTCTAGTTTTTGTATGGAAAAGTTTTTATTTGACAAGATATCTTCACGAAATTTGCCATACAATAATGTACAGAACAACACTACAATCTTCAATAATATTGTTTAGATCGGACTACTATAACATATAGCTGCCATACAAATTGACCGATGAAAATCAAAATAAAATTTTTTTTATACAATTTTATACTATAAAATTGCACCTGTGAAGGGAATTATAGCTACGTTGCAGCCGAAGTTAGCGTTTTCTCTTTCCTTTTATTTATTTTTATTACACATTAATGCATATATTTTTATTTAATCAAAGCTTAAACCCGTCATTCACTGCACGCCGAAGTCCAGTAATTAAATCACGCACTTTAATTTGAATAAAATTTAGCTCAACAGCAGTTATATGAATATTTCACAATCGTTATCCATTCAGCGCATAAGCGTATTATTAAAGACCGGCCACCACCTGTGCGTTGCGGAGCGAGATGCACACAAATTTTTGCGCTGTAAATACGTTTTTTGTTGAATCCGTTGTCTGGAGCATATGTCATATACGTGTCTAAATAAATATAGCAGCATTCATTGCATGACTCAGTTGTGAATAACTTTACATTTTACCATATGTATGTATGTGTTATCGTTAAGCTTCTAAGAAGTGAATGTTGTCGAAGTCACCCCATACAACCATACACTCACACATCTGCACTCATACATATGCATGTTTGTGTTTACCAGCAACTGGCGGCCCATAGAAATGCTCAGTCTTGCAACTTTTTCATATGCAAATCTGCATACTCAACTACAACAACTATGCGGGGAGTTGAACGTCAACGCCAATGTTGCCTGCAAGATTCCTCCATCACTTGTTATGCATATAAGCGACGGGAGAGATGGTGATGTTAGTGCAATGTGTGTTGCGGCCGCTCGTTAAGGTGAAAAGTAAATAGATGTGAGGTTCAAGAGATTTTCTGCACAGCGAAACGCTAAAATGCAGGTAAAAAGAAAGCATTTTCATGCATAAAAGAAATAAATAGGGGAAAATATGTGAGTTTCTGTGGGAAAGCCAAGCTTTTGAGTTATTCCTTTTTGTTTGTTGTTGTCGTTTTGTTTCCTTTGCTTTTATTTTTATACTTTTTTGTTTGTTGTTGATATTTTGTTTTCCTTTGATTTTATTTTTACAATTTTCTACTTCATCAGCGTAATTCAATTCGAGTTGTCAACGCGCACGCTAGACGGGCGGCATTTCAGCTTTGCGCACAGCGTAGTAGTTAGCGCTGTCAACGCTGCTCACCTGCATTTTACTCAACAGCCTAGACACTTGTTAATCTGTTGCTTACCCAGAATGGGGTAGAAAATTAATACGCCAACTTGCCAGCGAGTCAACCACACATTCTAGTTACCAATTACACACATACTTAGGTACTTATGGTATGTACTCGTATGCGGCGAGTGCCAGTCAAACTGTGGGTGGCGCATCTTACAAACTTAGGTGGATAGAAAATTCGGTAATACGTGCCAGTGGTTGAAATTGAAAATTTCCTTTTTATGCTGGACTAAAAAGCTTAAATGGCGAAAATAGCAAAAAGATATGGATTTTTTTTTTATTTCTCACAAAATTCTAATTCGCATGCAATGTTTGGATTTTTGGTTAGTTTTATGCCTACGAAGACTTATTTTTGTTTCATAAAAATTTTTTATTTTTGTTTCATAAAAATTTGTTATTTTTGTTTAATAAAATTTCTTATTTTTGTTTCATAAAAAATTTTTATTTTTGTTTAATAAAATTTTTTTATTTTTGGTTCTTCATATTTAGATATATAGAATACATCAATTCATGTTAATAAATTATTCGCAGCTTTTTTGAGCGTATTTTAAAGTGAATTGTATGTTTTTTCTGGAATCGATAAGTACTCTACCAAAAAATTGATGCGATTTCTTTAATACTTCGATGAAAATTCAGATTTTTGTTTTAGCCGGTCTAACAAAAAAACAACGTTTTCATGTATTTTGATAAAAATTTGTATTATCGCCTTCAAAATAGGCTCCTTTTGAGCCAATACAAGCATGCTAACGCTTAATCCAATTTTCCATACACCTGTTATAAGCCTTCTCTGTGAGTTAATGTGTTGAGTCGTTTCATAAGCGTTGTTGAGCTGCTCTACTAGCTTTCTGATGCCAACACGTGGTTAGCCGACTCACATGAGGCAAGTTTTCGATGGCTAGACGATCTTCATTAAATGCGTTGTGCCTCTCAAATACTTGTGTTCGTGATAGTAGACTCTCCGAAACGCAGCACAAACTTTTGCAACGATTCCGTAGCTGTGTTTTCATTTGAAACAAAAAACTTTAAGCAACCTGGCTGTTAAATTTTTTTTTTCCATGGTAAAAATCGGCAGTCAAACTTTTCGTGTCGTAAACAAACACTAATTGACATATGGAAATATGGAATTAAGTTTATGGTGCAGTTACTTAATCATATGTCGCAGCTATCCTACTATATTATACCACTTTCGAGTCAACATATTGAGTTTTATAGTGGACTACAGTAACTATCTATATTTGTTATATAATTTTGTAATAATTTTTAAATTCGTGTTATCTTTCGAATGGAATGTCCACATCGAATAATTCA